GGTTGCGATCCCATTGCCGGTCCCGGTCCAGTACAGGCGTGACACTGAGGGTTGCGATCCCCTTGCCGGTCCCGGTCCAGTACGGGCGCGACACTGAGGGTTGCAGTCTGTTGCCAGACACGGAAAAAGACAAAAAGGAAAAAAAAAAAAGGAAAGCAAGTGAGAATGTTAGCTCTCTCCCTCTTGTCATTTTCTCACCATGTGGTACCCCAGTCACCACAGGACCCTGCAGGGATTTCCCACCCAGAAGAACTCACCCATCAGATGTGTTCCCTGGACTTTGGACTTCTCAGCCTCCAAAATTATTATGTAATATACAAAAAAAATAAATTTTATTTTCTTTATACATTACCCAGTTTCAGGTGTTCTATTACAAGTAACAGAAACAGACTAATGTAATAGAGAAGGACTTACTATTGTTGTTTTGTTAATTGTTTTATCTGTCATATTTCTTTTATCCTATTTCTCCTCTCTTACTGTCTTCCTTTGTGTTTCATTGATTTTGTTTTTTGTATTTATATGCTTTGAATCTCAAAAGGAAAGCAAGTGAGAATGTTAGCTCTCTCCCTCTTGTCATTTTCTCACCATGTGGTACCGCAGTCACCACAGGACCCTGCAGGGATTTCCCACCCAGAAGAACTCACCCATCAGATGTGTTCCCTGGACTTTGGACTTCTCAGCCTCCAAAATTATTATGTAATATACAAAAAAAATAAATTTTATTTTCTTTATACATTACCCAGTTTCAGGTGTTCTATTACAAGTAACAGAAACAGACTAATGTAATAGAGAAGGACTTACTATTGTTGTTTTGTTAATTGTTTTATCTATCTTATTTCTTTTATCCTATTTCTTCTCTCTTACTGTCTTCCTTTGTGTTTCATTGATTTTGTTTTTTGTATTTATATGCTTTGAATCTCTTTTTCTTTTGTGTATCTTCTGTAGATATTTTCTATGTGTTTATCATGAGGCTTACATAAAACTACTTATAGTTATAACAGTCTATCTTAAGCTGACAACAACTTAACTTCACTTGCATGCAAAAACTATGATTCTACTTCTCCCACACACATACTTAATGTCATCAGTGTCACAATTTATGTTATTTTATATTGTGTATCCATTAAT